CGCGACGCGCAGAGATTTTTATGGAGAGGTTCGGATCGTACAAATGAGCCGACAATTTGTAGAATGCGAGTATTATTATTCGGAGCCAAATCGTCACCTAGCACAGCTTTGTATATTAAAAATAAGAATGCGATGACTTTTCAATCTCAATTTCCTATAGCTTCACAAAAATTAATTGAAAATTGTTACATGGACGATTATTTAGATAGCTTTGAGTCTAGTCAAGAAGCGAATGACATAGTAAAACAAGTGATCAAAATCAATGAAAAGTCAGACTTTAAAATGCACAGTTGGTCAAGTAATTGTCGTTTGGCTCTTGTTGATATTCATTCGTCAGCTCAATCAAAAGAGATTATAAATAGTTTAAACCTGGATGAGAGTGTAGAAAAGGTGTTAGGTTTGAAATGGCTTAATAGCTCAGACTGTTTAACCTTTAATTTTAACAGCAAGAAAATTTCACCTGAAATTTTGCAAGGAGTTCAAAGTCCGACTAAGAGACAGTTTCTAGGTATCATTATGTCTATTTATGACCCTTTAGGATTTTTGTTACCTTTTTTGATTCAATCAAGATTTTTAATGCAGAAAATATGGAAAAGTAAAATACATTGGGACGATTTGATTTCGAATGACGAATTTATCGTGTGGAAAAAATGGCTTCTCGAGTTAAAAAATATTGAGTCAGTTAAAATTAATCGTTGTTATCAGTTGCGAGACTTTCAAAAAAAAGATGCCGAGCTACACGTATTTTGCGATGCAAGCTCAAATGCTTGCGCAGCTGTCTGTTACTGGCGCTTTCATATAGGCGAGGAAAGGTTTCACGTAGCTTTTGTGATGGCGAAAAGTCGTGCTATAGCTCTTAGCGACAAAAGTACGATTCCTAGATTAGAATTACAAGCCGCCCTGATTGGAGTGAGATTAGCTGAATTTGTCGTACGCGAACATGATTTTTTTGTTAAAAAGCGATACTTTTGGTCAGATTCTACAACTGTTTTGAGTTGGATTCGAAAGAATCCATTAGAATTCAAAAGTTTTGTCGCGAATCGTGTTGGTGAAATTCGTAAGAAAACAAATCCGGATGAGTGGCATTGGGTAAGCTCAAGTCAAAATGCAGCTGACGACGGTACGCGTTTTAGGCCGGAGGCTTTGCAAAATAAAAGCCGCTGGTTATCAGGTCCACCCTTTCTATTTGATTCGGAAATTGACTTAAACAATAAATTAGATTTGAGTATCACCGAAAAGACAGTCGAGACGGAAAAAGAATTTATTACTAGAGAAGAATTTATTTTATTGACTAATCATTTCTCTCCATTAATTGATTTTAATCGATTCTCGACGTTTTTACGTTTGACGCTCACTTTAGCAAAAGCTCTTGAGATTCTTGATATTTGGATGAAAAGAAATATAAACTTATTCGAAACTCGGACTGAACGTTTTGAAAGAGCAAAGACATTAGTGTTGATTCAAAGTCAAGTTATTTCCTTTCAGGCTGAAATTGCCTCGTTAAAATATTCGGGTACGGTTCGTAAAAATAGTAAAATTACAAATTTATCTCCTTACGTCGATGAAAATGGTTTACTGCGATCGGACAGTAGAATCCAAAATAAAATCAATCAGGAGTTTCGAAAAGATCCGATAATACTCGATGGCGATGAAAGACTTTCGAGATTAATCATTCAACATTATCACGAAGAATTTTTTCACATGCATCACGAAGCGGTTATCAATGAAATTCGTCAGCTGTATTTCATTATTGGTTTACGTCGCGTTTTTAGAAGTATCGTTGCGCATTGTCCGACGTGTCGACAATTAAGAGCAAAACCATATCAACCACGAATGTGTGCTCTACCCGATGCTAGGCTGGCTTATCGAATGAGGCCTTTCAGTCATTGCGGTCTCGATTACTTTGGACCTATTTGGGTAAAAATAGGACGAAGAAAAGAGAAACGGTGGGGAGCGATATTTACCTGCATGACGGTTCGGGCAATACACATCGAATTGGTCGATAATTTGAGCGCGGATTCTGCGATCATGGCTTTACGTAGATTTTCGGCATTGAGAGGTTTCCCGGTGTATATTTATTCTGATAATGGAACATGTTTCGTTGGAGCTAATAGAGAATTGTTAGAGGCGATCGAATCAATTGACTATGCAAAATTGTTTCAATTTACGTCAAAAAATAATATAGTTTGGAAGTTTAATCCACCTACAGCCTCCAACATGGGAGGGGCGTGGGAGAGACTTATCAGGTCGGTGAAGTGTGCGTTAGCGGCTACTATTAGACATAGGCATCCAAAAGAAGAAACCTTACGTACCATTTTAGCGGAAATTGAACATAGTGTAAATTCTAGGCCATTAACGCACGTTTCAGCCGACCCTCATGATTTGGAAGCTCTCACCCCAAATCATTTCCTGATTGGATCCTCTTCAGGACAATTATGTTTACCACGATATACTTATAAAAATTTAGACTTAAAGAAAGAATGGAAAAAAGCTCAAATGTACGCGGATGAATTCTGGAATCGATGGTTACGCGAATATCTTCCAACATTACATTCTAGAAAGAAATGGCAAAAGGACCAACCTCAATTAAAAATAAACGATTTAGTTATAATTACCGATGAAAATGTACCAAGAAACTGTTGGAAAAAGGGAATTGTAATTCGTGTTTTACCAGGCGCCGATAATAGAGTAAGAGTTGTTGAACTAAGAACGGAAAACGGAGTGTTAACAAGACCTAGTAATAAATTAGTTAAGTACGCATGAATAGATCATGCGGGATCACTTGTCTGAGAATTGACTGTAAAACCTCACTCAAAAGAGAAAGGTATTCTTTGAATTTGTGTCAAGGCCGCGTCGCGAAAGAATTGCTTTCGTGGGCGCAGAATCTTTGCCAATGAATTTTGATTCAGTAAAAGGCAAAGCTACGGGGTAGTTAAGCGCAGAGGCTTGTCTACGGACGGTTGGCTGGACAAATTCGGGTTTAATTTTCTTGAGAGTTGGTAAGAGTAATAGATATGAAATAAGACGCAATTGTAAATTATATAATTTGTTTTATTTATGATTGATGTTTACTATTAAAGTTTAAGAATACAAAATATAAAATTTTGTAGGTGAGGAGGATGTTACCGATAGGATAAAGAAGTTTGCGATTTACCGACAGGCTAATATAAGTTTTGATTTTTCGAAGAGCGAGCAATTGTTCTTTAGTCATAGTGATGAATTGTTTTTGTAGTCATAGCGATGAAATTGTTACCTTTTTTTTTTTTTTTTTTTTTTTCTGGACAAACGACACACGAGCTTGCGCTCGCCCTTTTTTTTGCTATTGGCTTTTTTTTTTCGCGTCGAGAGCGGTCGCTTGTGACTTTTGCTCTAATAAACGCTTAAAAATAAAACGAAAACTGTCTGAAGTTTTATTCCTTTTAAGAATTAAAAAAGCTTGGTCGAAAACAAGCAGTATACCTTCTACTGTGGCGCCCCGCGAAACTCCACATCTTATATAGCTCATCCACCAGGATGCAAAACGACCATTACGCGTTTTACCTCTGGCGCGTAAGACATTATAAATGATCCAGCATTCGGTAATCTAATGTTTGTTTGGCCGCGTAGTTTTTTTTTCCTTTTTTTTCGGTGTATAAGGAGCGTTAATGAGTAAATTAGGAAGACGAATCGTGGTCAGACTTGCAACTTTCGCGTTTAACGATTCGTAAGTGTATTATTTAGAAAGGCGAGTAAGCCAGGGGCTCTCGGCGTAATTGAGATTCATGACGTGGGAGTAGTTTGTAATGCCACCCACATGCGCTTGAATTAATAATTGCGTACGAATATGCGTTGCGGTGAGGTACGGAGAGAGAGCGAGAGAGAGCGTTTATTCTAAATTAGGCGGTAACGTTATCTCGTTGACGATGGATGGTGTGCTATTTTTAGTTGCAGTTAATTCATTACCGAACTAATGAGCAATTGATTCTCATCTCGAGTTTCAGATTCCACGCATGCGGACGCACTGCCTGCACTAAAATGAAAAATTATAAATTTAACCCTTTCAGTCACGCAATTCAATTTGCTTTGTTATGAAAGTGCCAATATACGTTTCCGATGTATTTTTCGACGTTGAATTCAAATCTGGCGTTAAAAGTAAAAACAACATGGAGTGAAAACTACCCTTTCAGTCACGAAATACAAATTTTTTTGTTATGGAAGTAAAAATAAAGTAATTTTTAATGTAACAATTTTAAATGTAAAAAATTTTAATTGTAAAAAAAATTATATATCAATAAATAAAGAAAAGTGATATTATAAAAAAAGGTGTATTTTTTACTTTATTATAGAAGTTCTTTTTGGATTTATTTCATTTTTTATATCGGATTTAAATTCAGCGTTGAAAAATACATGGGGATCGTACATTTCCACTTGCAAAATAGAGATTGTATTGTGTGACTGAAAGGATTATAATTCAATATTTTTCAATGTGGAAGTACAAATGTAATATTTTTATAACAATTATAAATAATTGTAAACTAACAAATAAGTGTTATTGATGAAAAAAAAAGTCTTTTATGTTTTAAAAATGCAAAAGACTTCAGAATTTTTAATGAAATAAAAAAAGTATGACCAAAAAAATAAAAAAATCAGGTAGCTACTGTAGTGGGTTCTGTGACTGAAAGGGTTAAAAGGCGTAATCATATTTCTATAAACGGCTAATTGGGTTTATTTCGAAATTGATTCAGCAGTCAGTATGGAATTTTGATTAATACATATTTCCACGTATTGCCATTGACCATCCCATGAAGCGTTAAACATTGTGCCAAGCAGCGCAGAGAGATCGGATTCCAGTAGGGTAGCCATTGAAGAAAGTTTGTACGGTCAGATTAAAGTTCAGCAATGAAGCTTTAAGTAGCACCAGCAACGAGGTCGAAGGCTCTAGTGTTTCGAATTGACACGTTTATAAGCGATAGCGTGTCTGAAGGCATGTATATAAGTGCTGTTTGTTGTGTCTGTTACAGAAATCGAGTACCAACATGTGGGGCGACTGGATGGGAGTGATGCACGGCGATGAGATTGAGTACGTGTTCGGGCACCCGCTCAACTCAACTTTACGCTACACCGAGCGCGAGCGTGATCTTGCGCTTAGGATGATATTGGCCTACTCTAATTTCGCTATGCATGGGTAAGTCTTAATTTCTTTCCCTTCTTTACTCACTTAAGTATAGTGCGTCGACTCTATTTTTCTCTTTTTTTCCATGACTCTGTTTGACCGCACTCACGATCATTCCCGAGCGAGTCCTCGTGACTTCGATTCCTGCGAAGAATTTCAATTTCGCCTTTTCCAAAACTTCTCAACGACACTAATTCTTAGCTTATTTTTAATAGAATCGTATACGATCTGACCTTCGGGCTGCTTTCAAATTCAATGTTATTCAAGTCATTCTTGTTCCACATTTCTTGAAGGTCAAGCTACCATGACATATTTCACGCGAATACATTAAAAAATATATTGGTGTTGATTTGAACTTGACATTTTACTTCTACTGAGGTCGAAATAATTGTGGTAAGTTTTATTGATGAGTACTTTCAATTGTAAATCAGAACATCGGTATCCGACAAATCCTTATTGTAATTCAATATCTCAACATCTGCAGAGTAAGTAAAATACGTTCGGAATATTGAATTGAGGGTGAATGCGTCAAAATGGATTTAGCTAAAGGCATGACATACGAAAAAAATGAATGATAATTCTATGAAGTCATTATAGACAGTCGAAAAACAAGCTTGGGGAGGTGCAAGATCAGTCGGAAGAACCATAAAAGGGAACTAAATTGAAGTTAGTGAGACGTAGAATAAAGTAGCTGTTATTTTCTCCTACGTGGTCACCCCTCGGTAACTTTCGCTCCTCTTTGTTCTCTCATGTCTCTCGCGCACTCTTTTCACCGGCAAGCTCCTGCACGCCAGTTTTTTCCCGAGCCTAATCTTATCGCTCCCCGTTGTAATCCGTAAGGTCGTTACAGCCAAAACGGAGGCTTTGCGGTCTGCAAAGAAGGTTCATTATGAGCAAACGCGCTTTTACGCCCAGCACCCCCCTTCTATTTGCGAGCTGGCGGAGGATAAAGCAAGCTAGACGGGAAGAGAAGGGGAGACAGAGATCTGCTAACAGAGGAGTGGGGAAATTCGACCAATACGTGACCCGCAGCTTTCAACAAGTTAGCCTAAGCTTGAAGAAGCCGCGGGGACTCGACGCGTGGAATATCGAATGCGAGCAGACAGCTTTATCTGCTAGCTCGCTTTTTTTCCTTACCTTTGCCACAGGGCAACGGTGCAAATAACTTTTATTAAGCTTTTTTTACTTTCTAAAGTAGCTGTAATTAACGTGTGTACATGCGTTATTTTCATGAGAATTGCAACCTGCATAATAGCTCACTATATTCATAATTGGTGCCATAGGAAGTAGTAGTACTTCTGTTTGGTCAAACAAAGGTAGAATGAAATGCAAATATACCACTGGATAAGCGGAAAAAAAAAGAAAATTGTTTTAAAAATACATATCATAACTCTGCTTTTTTTATCATTGCGAACGATATGTCAAAAATGAAAAGCAAGCAGAAACTAGCTAAAACGCAAGATTAATGAGTATTTTCAATAGTTTCTCTTCACACCACTGCTAAGTGAAAATAACTAAAAACAGGCGGTCCGATGCACGTATATATTGCAGGCGAAAAAGAAAGTTTTCCAACTTGAGTGAGCGAGTTTCAGCGTAAAGTTTTTCATTCTTTTGCTTCGCCGCACATGTACGAGGGCATATATGTATCAAAACCACTGACATTCTCTTCTTTATTTCTGTAACTTATTCATATGAGAAATCTAGTTTCTTTTCTTCGTTGAACACGTAAATTTTTTATTCGTCTCACAATGGTTGTGAACATACTTTTTAAACTTATTTTTATATTTTTTTATGCAAGCGTCGATAAACATAGTAATAATAACAATGATAAATATTTAAGAATAAAATTCTATGAACATTACGCCACGGAAAAGTAATTTACGGCGTACAAAATAATTTAAGAAAAGTACATACGTATTCTAAAACTAAGTTTTGATTAAGAAAAATTGAGTCATCACGTTAATAAATATTCATTCTTAAGCGCCTTTGCTAAACATTACATAAATAAATAATGGCGTACATAATAATGTAAAAAATACGTATGTATTTTAAAACTAAGTTTTGATTGAGAAGAATTGAGTTATCAAGTTAATAAATATTCATTCTTAAGCGCTTTTGCTAAACATTACCGTCACAGATCTGAGAATCGTATGTTTCCCACAGTAAATCATTAATCACTTTAAACTGAATGCACTGAATGAATAACCGCTTCGGGGAATGGTAATCAAGTAATGGTTTTTTTAAGCACGAACGAACGTGAAAAAAGCGAAACGACAGTTAAGCCAGCAATAGCAGGATAAAAAATTTAATCACAAGGAAATAAGCGTGAAGCTGTAGAGGAGGAGAGCAGAGAGGGGATCAAAATACAGGCGCGAAAAAGTCAACAACGGATTAATCTGCACGCGCGATCATCGTGCACAAATACATTTACCCGATATTAAACGTCGCACGCTTGCTTAGTCGAGTAGGAAGTCGAACGACCGAGTGGGCAATTAACGACACGTATAAATGAGCCAGCCAGTAAGAATGAAAAAAATAAATGCAAAGTCAAAAGTCGAAAGAAATCAACGAGATCAAAGTACGCGCGACAGCGGCTCGTGAGTAATTAGTGAGCAAGCGTGAAACTTGCGAAATATCTTTGTAGATGATTGTAACATCTCTCTCAGACAACATCACAGTTCATTTGACCTACATGCTCTCTGGGATGGCTGGCGGGTCTCATCGCCCCTCACCCGTCCCTCTCCGTTTCTCTCAGCGTTGACAATCTGATGATGCCTGTAAGATTTCAGCCTGCCGTTTACGCGCAATTTGTAATTTATAACGAGATCTATACCAAAGTAAATTCGTAAACTTCGTCTTTGGAGTGTTCCAAATAAGGCGAAAAAAAGAGAGATTTTAGACTTCTATTATTCTATTTTCACGCGACGATAACGTAACTATTATGACATTAATTTCAACGTCTAGTGACACTAAATATTAATCACACATTCAGCTTTTCATTTCAATTAAATCTATTCAAAAAAACAATAACTCGAAAATCAGTACATCGAATTAAATAAATCAACAATATTTAAACAAAAGGTAGCATTTTAGTTCGCTATATCTGATTCAACGAGCTTCTGTATAGACCAAGGTGTATACAGAATCGTAACATGAGCAAGACGGTCCGATGAGCGCATTGAGATGCAATAGCGGATGTAAGGTATGCATAGTTGTCTAAGTAGGCATCAAGAAATTCCGATCGATGAACAATTTCGCACCCAAAACTGCCTATTTGTGAATATCCCAGGCAGGCAAGCACGAAAGCGAAACGGACGGTTAAGGAGATCGAAGCCTCTCCACCTCTACCTCACTGCACGCAGATGCACCCCACGGAATTTACAATGAGATCCATTCTCTTTATTGCTTTCAATGGGGCAAATGTGAGTAAATTTATCGGAAAGCGGTTTTCTCGCCTCTTTCTCTCTTTCTCTTGTATGTATTTTCCTTAGCAAATCGAGTGATTCAATCGTTTATCACACCCTTTCTTCGATCAATCTTGTGTAAACCATTTACCGAGAAATACAAATGAGTTTCGATTGTTTATCCATTAATAATTTTTATAAAAAATTCCGTACGCAAATATATGAACGTGATTTGTATCTAGTTATTCTACAGTAACACAGACTATATGTAAATACTTAATCATCAATTTGATCTTCCTATAAGTTACAAAATAGCCTGTTTGCGATAAAGTATACAATTTTCATAAATTTCACGGTAACACAACTCAGGATCAATTCATGTTTGGTCAGAAGTATATAAAAACTTACAACATATTTGCTTTTCAAAATTATGCGTGTAACGTTTAAAGTCATTGTTCGAGTGAACATGACGCTCGCTACATTAAAGCTTGACTTGCGCATACCACGTAATACTCTCGACTAGTCAACAATCAAACAATGCAAGTTGGAAGATAACTTTGAAACAATGCATTCGCGAGTTGGTTCTCGAGGCACTTAACACCGCAGCTTAGACGCGCATGGAGAAGATAGGTTTATCTCTCGAGGTAGCAGATAACTCAGCAGCACTGCCAAAGCCCTAGAAGTAGGTATAGTTAGCGCCACGGGAATTCGTAACCTTCTACCAATGGCAATGCTGCACCACGTTCGCAGTTAATGGAGCGACTCTTTGCACAGCTTTTGCCATGCTAATCATCTGATCAAAGTCGCTGCGCATACTATACCGGTTGAATGTTCCCATGTCTTTTATCGGAACGCGGGTGAAAAATTATGATAAACGACATTTTCCTCTTGGATAAAGGAATGACTTTTTTAAGTACTCAACTTGAAGGAATTAACATTTCATCTTTCCAGCTATTTTATTACGGTAGATTTTTATCCTTTTTTTTCGCAATCAAAATCAATTACCTAGAGTAGCAAACTAATTACGATATAAGAAGATTAAAATTAATAACTAATGGCATTATAACAAAGCCTCGACATAATGCGTTTTAATTAAGTCTCCCCCTCAGGCAATTCCGCGAGATGATTGTGCTTTTAGTTTTGCTCATTAATTCTCATTGGCTCGTAACTTTTTTTCTGAATATCGTAATAACATTGTTTTAGAGACAGCAATGTAAGATCGAGTCTTGAAAAAAGCTGTAAGTTTTCGGCAGTAAGGCGCACTGCAAATAACAACTGTAAGGGCGGAATATATAACGCGCGGGGATGAGTGCACTCGCTCTTCATCACTGGCCCTGCAATCGATGACAATATCAAGATAATTCCCGCATCGCGTGAGCTGGTTATCCAGCGGAAGTATAATACACAGGCGCACACATTGTTCGTTGTTCACTCGCGCGTCAGCGGCAGCAGCGCCCGGTAAATAATGCATACGCGCTACTTGCACCAACGACCTTCATCCCGCTATTCTCTGCTCCTCCTTTTCTTCTCTTCGCACGGAAATTTTCTTGATTTCAGCGTGGCCCGAGGCAAGGCAATTACACGCGCGCGACGCCGCGCAGAGAGGCGAAGAATAAATCTTTATCGAAGGCTAGTGAAACACTGCTTGGAAAAGTGCTTTTTTTTTTGTTAGGTACGTACAAAGTTTCGCTACCTGCAATCAAGCTTCGCCACCATCGCCTAAAGCTCTCGTTATTTGTACGGATTTGCCTTTAAAAGCTACGATTGTTTTTCATAATTGTGGAATGATTTGTTAAATTTGCGCAGCTGCCGAGAACTTCGTTATTTGCTCGCAAAGAAGAAATATAACCGCGAATCGATTTTTTAATTCTGCGCTTAAGAGAATTTGAAATGTTTTTTAGTATTTGCAGTCGTCTTTATTTTTCTTTTTTCAGAAACAAATATTTGCACGATATTCATTGCTATTCTGCTGGAAATCCCATTACATTATTTTAAACTATTATGAATATTATGAAACAATAAATATATAAGTAAATCCTAAAATAAAATGCACTTTTTAGATCTCGGATGAGTTGTTCTCTTTTTGATTAAATTATAAACTAATTAAAAATACGATTAATGATTTTTCATGAAATTCCAACTAATGGATAATAAAATTCTAATTTTTATTTATTTATGATCTTAATAAGAACAGAATTTTCCGGAAGCTATTAAATTGAAAAAGAAATTTCTCGATTCTGAAACTCTGGAAAAAGTATATTTTATTTTGTTATTAGTAATGTAGATACCTATATGTATACGTATGCAATTATACAAATGTAGGTGAGAAAGCAGTGTGCTATAAGTATTTCTTTCTTTCGAACTATCCTACTAAGGCGATATTAGTCAAAGTTATATCAAGCTGCTGTTGAAATGTGTAAAGTACATTCATATATTCATGTAGTCTGGCCATAATGCATCTATACTACTTCATAGTTGACTTACTATGACGGACTGAATCAGAGTAACACTTTGCTGTTTTACTTGTAATGTTCTCTATACTCATGAATAATCCATGAGGTTATTACGAATAAAACATTCTTAACGTTCTCTCATAAAAACAAATCTGGATTATCCAGATGGCGAGAAAAATAAACTACAAAAGAAAGAAAAGTGGATCACCTTGAGTAAGACAACTTTCCTTTGAAGTGCTCTAACGTGCTTTGTTGAATGAAATTTTCCTTCCCAACAACAGCATTTATCAAACGAAGCGTGAAGCTTGTCATAACGAAAAATCATCTTTCAACCGTAAAGACGACGAATTTCAGAGCGAAAGGAGCATAAAGCTCGAGGCACAGGTTATATAACGCGAGGAAATTCTTTCGTTTTGCCCCAGCTAAACTGCTCTCGCTCTAGTAGTCTCAGCTCTGCGCGCACACCTGACACTCTTTTTTTTTCCTTCTACTTCTTGTACTTTCTCTCTCTTTTCACTTTTCTCATTATGTTCGGGCGTCTGGCAGTGTTCACATCTTTTTCCATTGCGCTACAGAAAGCTAGCTGAACTGCAGTAGCGGCTCCTTCTGCGAAAAGTCTCCCAAGAGAAAGATGCCTCCAAGCATTTACTTCTCTCTTTCTGCCTTTGTGCTGCGCTCTCTTTCATCGAGATGTCCCTTTACTTGTACTGCCTGCTAGAATCAAAGAAAGTCAGTCGACCATGAAAGTTCTAAAGTGTTACATATCAATTTTATTTAATTATCTATAAAAAGCTTCCAACTATTGTTCGTAATTTGTTTACTTTCGAGGGCACTTATGTTTAGTCAATAGATTTAATTTTGTTATCGAGAACTAGTAACTTATACTCAAACAACTTTTTCAATCATTAGACATAACGTAAAAAGAATCAGACACTTTACATCTGCGTTTAAATATATGAAATCAGTGATTACAAAAGTACCTTTCACCAATGTCTTCTATACCAATTTCGTACCTTTAGAAGCTTTTATCACTGCGCAGAAGAAAATGAAAAATGGAAGCCAAGAAAGAGGAGAAAGCTATTCTTGCAATCGCCTTTCCTCTTAGACTTTCAATTTACATTCTTTAAATGAGTTTTATACGTAAAAAGGGAAAAAATCTCCATGTCAAAGGAGCAGAGGGTTGACAAGAAATTGATTCTTGCACCGAATTGAAGATTTCTTTTATCAAAGGCTGACGCTACTGATACGAATAACGAGGGTAATATCCGAGATTAATTATTTTCCAATAAAAATTCAAATTTAAGCAGAACTTTGTAAAAGTGAGATTTTGTAATAAACAATTTCGTTAGTCTTTGATAATTACATATTTGAAGCCACTACGTTGTATTAAACTGATGAGCGAAATGTATTAGAATAACACGTAATTAATCATGCGCATTAACACGTTGTAAAACCAGTTTAATTTTTCATTAATGTAGGGGTCCGTTACAGTTTCGTGTTACAAAGCTATCACTCAAGACAGTTATATGAAGCTGGTGCCACCTGTCGGTTTATCGATAATTTCGTACACATACGAGAGCTTACAAAATTTCCCATTTCCATTACCTTTCAGCGCGTAATAATCTCTGCACTCCATATATTATGGTGATATTCAGGCACGTGAATCGCAATATCGCAGTAGCAGTCGACGTTTAAATGAATTTTCAAGAGAAAATAGCTCATGGGCCAGGTGCGAATTGTTATATATAGTAGTAACTCATTTTTATTTACTTAAGGTTCTAGGGCGAATCTTGAATTTTTTTCTTTTCTACATTTACCTTATTTTTGGAAATCTTTCCATTGAATTTTTAATTGACATCCTGCTGTTAATTTTAGTTGGACAATGATGACAAAATGTTTCAACTTAGGTACAATATCTTATTCAAGAGAAATGATCGTAAATATTTAGAAACATGATCAGATCACATTGGAGAAAAAATATTCTACAGTTCACATGAAATTCTTGTTTTTAGATTTGGCGTAAGCTCCAATTTAACTATGTGTTCATATATTTTTTTTGCCCTTTCATAATTTCATAAAACCCTTTCATAAAATGAAATTACAGACCCTCCATAACTGAATGGACAAATTTACTGAAGTAACCTTTATTGAATTTACCTTCTCGGTAAATTTGGATTTGTTATTTACACCGACAATAGCTTCACAGAATGATTAGATTGTTCAGGTTATTCTATGCAACAAAAAACCACCTGATAGCTGTAATCTAATAAACACGGTGAAATTTCTGAATTACAGACAACCAATGGATGAAAGTGAATGGCCGCCATACACGAGAGACAATCCTAGTTACTTCATCTTTAATGCAGAAAAAACTGAGCTGGGAAAAGGCCCTCGGACAACGGCCTGTGCATTCTGGAACGAATTTATGCCGAGGCTGAAAGGAGTGCCAGGTAAACAGACAAGCAGTCGCACACTGTCATTTTTGCTTTGTTATATCCTCTCGTCGAATCTGAACTCCATTCACATTCCTATACACGTTTCTTCTCTTACTCTGTATATATATACCTCTTTTATTTGAACGCTGTGCTAGTTTCCATTTCTCTCTCTCTCTCTCTCTTCTTTTTGCCTATATTAGTCTGTGTTCTAGTTTTTTTTCCTTAATGCTTTCTTCGCGTAATCGGTGCGAGTCGTTATAGAATTTGCAATCAAGGCTTTTTGCTATCGCGTTTTTGCATTATTGAGTTTGCCAATCTGCGCCAACATTTTCAAGAGCGGTATTTTTTTTCGTTAACTATTTTTTGTAGAATAAGCTCGTTAATATGAAATAAATTTTTAAAAAACATGCATTTTTTTACCGCCATTTTGAATGGTCAAAAGAATTCTATGGAAATATTAATACAACAGATTGGATTAATTAATAATGAAATGCCACAAGCTCGTAACATACTATAAAGTATTTCAAAATGTTCAATATTTCGTTACAACCATACAATTACTTTCACTCAATATTCGACCGCCTTAAGTTATAAAATTTTACAAGCTCCCAGGAGTTATACGAAGTCAGTATTTTAAAACTGCATCATCTACTCCACAAGCCAGTTGATCCCGTGGCGTTAACTCAATATGAGCTAAAGTATATCAGTATGAAGTGTTTGTAAGTCATGAATTTTTGAGAAGTAGCGTCGCATCTCGCGGTCATAAAATCATTGACGAATTTTTGCAGAAGACGTCGCGGCGCGCAATTGCGTCGGGTACTGAGGATTTATTATAAAGTTATTTCAAGTGAACTCAAACTCTTGACCTCGTTTTCATCCGGTCTTGCGCGCGAATCTTAGCGATAAATAATCAAGGTGTATATGTCGGGGTGGGATCCTGAAAGTTCTAGGTCAGAGAAAGACCTCGTGACGTTGACCGTGGACCGCCCGAGCAAAAGCCTCTATCTTTTTCTCTCTCGCGATCTCTCTCTTACAACTTTATTGCCCATAAGAGGATGTCAGCGGAAGCCATTGCGCGCCAGTCAAGGCCAACTTCGCCAAAGTGAAAAGTTAATACTACCAACGAGGGGATGAAGACATGAAAAATTCACAGCAAATATGGCGATGATAGGAAAGTTGTTTATTCGCCGACCACTCTCGCGCAACGTGACAAACTTTCAAGCTCTACAAGAAAATTGCAAGCCATTTTTCTCTCTTTTTAAGAGTTTTAATGGAACATTTTAGATTTATTTCTATGTATACGTAAGTTCCAAATCACAAGAACTGTATACGCGATTTCATATCACATCTTCCTAATCAATGATTTCATAATGTAGAAATGTATTATGTCTCCTTAGTTTATAATTTCCTGTGCATCCGCAGACTAGAATAGGGTACTTGCAATATATTTAATGAATATTTTGTAAGATTAGAAATTTCTAGTCAGCCTGATATTGATTTGACGATATTATTTAGTAGTTTAACAATCGATAACTTATAAAAATATCGTATAGTACGATTATGTATTTACTTTAAATCTCTTCATAGAATATATTATAAAGGAATTAAGAGTAAAATATACAGTTATAACAATAAATCTTAATTTTTTCTTTAATACTCTGATGGATATAAGGTCCAATACTAAACCAATAGTTTTGTTGGATCCTGACCTGGGTTAATTGACGATAGATCTCCAGTCACCCATCTAGTTGGTAGATTGCGGAGACTGCGTGGCGACGCCAGATAAATCGCCCCGAGCGAGAGAGAAAACAAAAGGAATGAGGAGACCAGCGAAACTGGTCAATAGTTCAAGTATCCGGGTTTTTTAACGCGAGTCTTGTTGTGAATGCATCGTTTGATCTGACTGATTTATCGCGTGTTTTGACTAAGAGTTTTTAGCGCTCAATCGATCCGGATAGAAGGACGAAGAGAGAGGAGAAGAATAATGGTTGGACTTTTATTGATAATCCCGAAAATTATGAGCTCGCCGAGTTCATTAGTTACGAGCTATTATTTATTTTTGTAAGAGTACCACTTGTAATTATACTGCTGGATTGGGTAATTTCCTTTGATTCTAGACTTTTCTTGGAAGCCTTTTAGCAACAAACGAGTTGTGAATTACTTCAGTTTCAAAAAAATCATAAATTCTCTTTTAAAAATCTATTTTTTTTAAATATATTTTTATTTTGGAAAGGAATCATTTAGTTTCGGTTGTGAAATATTACAATTTTTATATTAATATCCAAGTTGAATAAACTTCGCAGATCTGCATTCATTATAAGTCTTTTTTAGTCAAAACGTCATTCGTTGAAGTTTCTCTGAAAATTAATGAGGTATCCAAACGAGATGAAAAAACATTTATTCTCTAGATTTGCACTACTTAACTCGGTGTATTTCTTTTTCTACTATTTTCACCTGGAAAACAGACGAAGCTCTCGACTCATTATACGCAGCAATGCGCAGAAATTATATTTATATATTCAAAAAAACTAAGCTAGCAAGAAAAACCACCGTGAAAGAAAAAATACTCAGCGCATATCCCAAACAAGCTTCGCTAAATACACATGGCTGACCTCGAAGAAGTTCTAAGGAACGAAAAATAATCTTAATAGGATGTCGAGATATTTTTCAAGCTTTATCTCATTTGATGTTACCCGTTCGGATTACATTCTTTTATTTCGTCGATGTCACCAACAATGACCGTTGAATAACGTTATTTTTCCCCTGGCAACTGGAAACTCTGAAAGAAAACAATTGTTTCTTATTGCAGATCCGTCACCAGAGGCATGCAGCGGTGCAGTAGCGTCGAGCGTATCAGCAGGTGCATGGGCGTTGCGCTCGGGAGGCTGGCTGACGGCAACGTTACTGCTAGCGTCTCTGGCGCAACTACTGTCCGGCTTGTTCGCCAGTTTCTAAACGACCGAAGAGATGCAAAGAGATGGAAAACCCAACGTTAAAGTGCAAAGAAGGCGTGTGGAGAAGACGGCGGCTCATCGCGCTGGCTCGCGATTCATGGACTGCGCTGCGGCCGTACATAGGATATACAGGGAATAGCCAAGTTGGGTGTGTCCGTCTTGCTGCTGCCGTTATATATTCTCTTCTCCTTACCCCCGACTGAGTGAGCCTTTCTTAACTCCCTTTAAGTTTCACCGAGCCAAATAACAATAACTTTTAGCGCTGAGAAATTTATCATGGATTTCTCTCTCATTTTTCCAATAAATAAATAAAATAATAAACAAAAACAGAACAATAGAGTGTGCCGTTGCGAGCTGCACACTATAAAATACGAAACTACAAGTAATGGTGATTCTACAATATTAGATCGCTATGCGTCTGGGATAATGTAGGATTTAACACATTCATTGTCAGGTCAAATGTTGAAAATACTAAAAATAATTAATATGTTCCGAAGTGGAGATTTATGTAACGAGAATTACTCGCATCTAACAATAAGTTCCGAAGCCATTTGATCGAATATTGCCTAGTAGTTTATTGTGGTGGAAAATTTTGATTGATACGGAGATGTCGAATGTGTGCTTGATGAATTATTACTGCCTGCTATGTATCATCGTGCACTCGTTAATTATTGTTGAATAATAATTGCTCATTGAACTTGACATTCTGGTCGGTACGAAACTGCATTTGAACTTTCTAAAAATATTATTGGTACATCCGAATGTCCTGCAATACACACGAGACATCCGAGGGTATCGTTCAAAATGCGTAAAATTATCGAAATTAATTACTCTTATTTAGCTGAACGTTTAAATGAAATACGGTGGTACTGAGCTTCCAAGAGCGAATCGAAGCAAACGTCAAGAAATCGAAAAATTGAACAAAACTTAAAGGGAGCGACGTAAGATATTGCTCTTTTCTTGTTTCTCTTTCAATTCTAGCCTTTCTCTCTCTCTCTCTCTCTCTCTCTCTCTCTCTCTCTCTCTCTCTCTCTCTCTCTCTCTCTCTCTCTCTCTCTCTCTCTCTCTCTCTCTCTCTCTCTCTCTCTCTCTCTCTCTCTCTCTCTCTCTTTTTCTGCCACTTGCATTTCACATACTACGACGTCAGTTTAACGAGCAAAGCTTGTCCTTTTCGTTGAAGGGGGTAAACGTATATATGTAGGTAACAAAACGTCGTTACGCTTTTCTCGCCGATATATAGACAAAAAAGAAAAGAGGGAAGGTATAGAATGGAAGGTAGTAACGAGTGCCTGCAAAACTTCCCTTTTTTTGTCTGTTTTTCTCTCTCTGCGTTGTTTTTGTTTCTCACTCAGCGAGCTTACGCTGGAAAGTATATATACAAAGAAATAACGGCAGCAGATGGACAGAGCTAGTGCCGATGAATATTAGGCGCGAACTCGTCAAACGACGTACACTAAGACGACACACACACAAACACACCCACACACACTTCTACATTCCACACACGAATACGTGCACGTGAACAAAAAATTTACACCGATCGAAGCCTAAATGTATAATCAGTCGCACAAGGCGATCCAATATATAATGTTATATAAATCTGGCTCGATATGAGCTCGAATAAATAAAAAAAATATGTGAGAGAGTGAATTACTACGGAAAGGGATGAAGTCGAAGAGAGCGCGCTCGCGTGGTCCGATCGTGTCCCGGCACGCGATAGACGCGCTAATAAATTCACTTTTCGAGTGGCACGAATCTTCCATTTGGTACATATCACCCTTAAATTTAACGAACAAATATATATAATTATGATGATTATAAGTATACATGAAGTGCAAAGTAGGAAAAAAAAAAATCCAATGTGAACGATCAAATAAGAATGTTTATGTAAGAGATATCGCATAAAATTGAAACAATGGACAATGCTTTTAGGAACGTAATAACGTGCTAATATCGTCAAAGATAAAACTTATTGAATTGCTTAACAACACACACTAAAATCAGTGAGTATAGCAATTTAAAAAAACAAATTAGATTTGGCATATATACCGATGTTTTACCGATGAATTCACATTTTCATAATATATATAAATCTTATTTGGCAGACATCCGCAGAGATGTCTACTTGAGAGGCTATGATTTTTTGTACATTATAAGAGGAGATATTTTGTTAAAAAAGAAATTGATATGTAGATATGTGAAGTGTTAATTATAAGTAAGCGATTGTTTCCTTTTGTCTATATTTTTACGATAAAAGATAAAAAGAAATCGGAAAAAATGCTATGAAAAAAAGAGTTTAGATAATACGTAGCACTAAAAATAGATGTCCAAACTGTGTTAAAATAAAAATGATAAAGAAAAAAAAATAAATAAAAGCCAGGAGCACGTACGTCCGACGAGCTGCGATCTGTGAATGCTATTTATATGTACATGAAAAATGTGGATCGCGCAAAGCGCAATCGTACGATGAATTGTACACAATATACATATATCATTATACATTATACACGTATGGATTATAAATATATATAAGAAGAAACTTATCTAAAGAAAGAAAAAAATATAAATGAAAATTAGGTATATAAATATATAGTTGGACGGGAGAACTGAGGCTCCTTTGGGCGATTTATACCGAGTTTCGCTTACAATTATGCGCAAACTCAAGCACAAGATTTGTATGAATCAGCATAAGAAAACAAGAGAGGTTCATGCCGCAGGATGTCTTGGCTCCTTCGTTTTACGTGTTACACAAGAAAATCCTTACGGTAACACATAAATACATGTCAAAATACAATATAAATAAACATATATAATATAGGTATGTTTTATTGTGCGGTGGTATATATACGTATTTGGTATTTTGATTAAACTGCACGAGCGGAAATTATTTTTTACGAAACGTTATTAGTGGTTTAGACATTTTAAACTCTTCAAATAAACAAAAATGAAAAGCAAAAAACGTGAGTTATTGATAAAATTTCGTAAGGGACAAGAGAAAAAAAATCGAACACGTGCGCGGAGAGTTGCAAGATATAAAATAAAGATGGAGAAGAAAGAAATAACACGACGGTCGTATGCTTGAATATACATGAAGGTTTGGCTTGGCATATTTTGATGATTTGCTAACGAACTATATTGGCAATTGAATGCAAATACGATAGCTCGTACTGTTTCTGAAATTATTGTTATTTTTATTGTCAAAATAATCTCGATGCTACGTTTTAGCACGATAGATCGTTCGACGTACCTTTGAATCGTTTAATATAACTCGATAGATTTTTTTCTCAAGCGAAGCTATGCTTTTTTATATAAAGCGACCGGGTATATCGAATGTTGTTCGCCAGAAAATTGAGCACGCTGTATTCTCACTTCGCGGTCTATCGAATTCTTTTTCAATTGAGTTAGAGAGTGTGTGTGAGAGAGAGAGAGAGAGAGAGAGAGAGAGTCAGCAATCGAGCGACGCGCAACGAGGTGACTCGCGATCCGGAAAACGAGATCTAGCTCTCTCACTCTCGCAATGAAACGCAAATCATCGAAGAAAAAAAATTGCGTCCACGAAACAAAAATCTACGCGCTGTGCGGGGTAGGCGGAGCGAGCCTAGGAAAAATTCGGGGACGCTCGGTACGGCGCGCAAGGTATAAAGTTTCTCTCGCACTACTCTCTAATTAAACTGACCGTCAAAGCGTGAAAGTGCGCTCCAGCGCTTCGCGCTCGTGGTTTTGCTGTATGGAGTTGACCCTCGATTTTCATCCACGTTCGCGCTTGAAATATAGCCCAGATAGCGCGCGCGCGATACGGTTTGATGCTCGAAAACTGTAAACCACGCTCCGAGAACCTATTTGATTTGGTTATGCATATTTTTCCCATCAACATCAACTCGATCGTTGGATTTGACAATAACGAAATTTTAGAGGAATTCTTGAAAGCATAAATAACTAAAGTCATGCGTGAATACGTTATCGAGAATTCCTAGAGATTTCTTTTACAAAGATTTTGCGTGATTAACATCGAACAAAACAATAAAAAAGGATCGACGATCATCAATTCTTAAAGAGGTGTACTTATCTCACCCTCATCCGAACGAAAATGGCTTGTTAATTGCCGGAATCCTTATTGTCATTTACGAAATTGACGGAAAAAAAAAGAAACAAGATGTTTTTTAAATTAAAGCCACAATCGTTGTAACACACAGTATAACATCCACTCAGTTGCGAAGCAAACGTGCACAGAGAGAGGGAGAGAGAGAGAAAGAGAGAGAGAGAGAGCGTAAAAGGTGAAAAAAATCGATGAAAGAGACAAATAGCGAGGAAGCTCGTCCTCTCTCTCTCTCTCTCTTTCTCTGTCTCTCTTGGTCACGAGTCTCGCACGGGCGCATTCTGACGTCATCGCCAGCCTAAAAAAAGAATGGACAAGTACAGCCTGTGAAGAAAAAGCGAGATGAGTCACTTAAAAACCGTGCGAAGAAAAAGAGGGATAAAAGGAGCGCCGACGGCCAAACTGGCATGTGCTACTTGAAAGTGACGCGCAAGTTGTTTATTTTTAACCAACTAGCGTTAAATCATCATTACTCGAATATACGTGCGCGCACCAGCCTGCTTTTTCGCGACGTTTTTCATTGAATTATTCAACGACTTGAAATGAGGTTAATTGATTATTTCATAATTGACAGCTGACCTTGATGACCTTGACTCCGCGCGCCAGTGTATACATACGAGCCCTACATGTACATATTGCAATTAAAGCTCCGATGCAAAGTATACACGAAGCTCGGGAATGTTTTAAGCTCTTTGAGAGACTATTTGACTAATGACATGCTCTGGCTTTAACGAATATAAAGCTTATGCAAATAACTTGCCACCCAAACGAGTTGTTTAACATCGTACGCAAGTGTAAATATGTAATGTTCGTCGCACCTATAAATACTTTAGAAAATGAAATACAGAAACATATAAACTTCATTTGACTATTGATTGGAAAGAAGTAAAAGTAGTTTTTTCGATTAAGATCTATCTTCGGTATCAAGGGATGATGACAGGAAATGTGGGTCAGTATGATCGTAAGACGATTGCGTTGTTGGGTGCGCCGTCATCCAGTCAACTTCAGTTTGATCGTTCTTGAAAACGAAAGACAGCGATAAATGAATGGATCGACCAAGATATTCTGTAAATTATATATCTGTATATAATTTCGTACGTAGTATTTTATTCGAAGCTGTAATATCTATATTGCTTGAGGCAGCGAAAAAAGTTCTATTCATTCATTCATTTTTAACCACCTGGAGCAGTAAAATGGTTTCTCTGCATTCGAGTGACTTTTTTTTTCATGCCGGAGTATACTTCTCTTGCACGTGTGGGTAATGTTATTTATCGTGAACGCAGGAAAATATTATCCACGATCGTATTCTTGAAAAACTAGTGCACAGGTGCGAGACATTGGTTTTCTTTGTTTTTCGACGAATCAAGATCGGGCTTTCTTTATCGTAGATATCGAATGGACTTTTAATATCGGAAATGGATTATATGATTTCGAATATATATAGTACTTTGCAAACTCTTCGCTCACTTTGTCCTTAGTATATGGAATTATTTCTACTAAACTGAATTGCACGTCAAGGTTGCATAACATGTTTAGCTGAAATGTTCAGCTACGTGCTGTCGTACGTAGGGTGGTGAAAGTAATAATCAAGTTTAATTCTATACAATGAATAAGTAGATTTAGCTTTGCTTTTATGAATCAGTACGAATATATCTAACGAATTTCCCCTTGCAACGTTTATGCCAAACCTTCATGTGAAATATTTCAAACACACAATGTATGCATGATTTTTTATCGATACGTTTTATTATATTCAATTGATAAAACACATATTATTATTGCCAGGATATGTATGAGCAGTAAACTTCTAATTAATATAGGGTTATTAACGTTCTTTTATTGTCAATATGCCGTACATAGAGTAAAAAGTATAGCACTAGGCTTACAATAAGATGTTTGTGATTACCAGAACAAAAAGAAAAAAGTACACAGAACTAGAGAGATGCCAATAAAATATCTCTTTGTAAGCCCAAACCAATGCTTTACTCAATACT